TTGTTTTAATTTTTATATGGAATATACACAAATAGATACAATCCACACAAATAAAAGGTCTTCAGGGTCCTCAGTGATTTAAGAGTGTAAAGGGGTCCTGAGATCAAAATGTTTTAAACTATTTTCTAGAATGACATCTAAAAATAAAGTAAAAATGTATAGCTAAAAAGCCAGTAGAGAAAATAAAGGAAAAGATGAGACCAAACAAACAAAAAAGATAACCAAACAGCCTGTATTAATTTACAATGCTACCAGGATTTGGTGTTCTTAACTTTCTCTCTCTCTCAGAAGGTACTGTATTATTTATTTTGTCTTTCCTTTGTTGCTGTACATTGTCCCATATGCTCAAATGTACTTCCTACCTGTTGCCCATTTATCCATATAACAAAAGGTCTTCATACGTTTCTAATAATAAAACAAATACTCAAATGTTAACCTGAATGTATGGCAGTAGAAAATCAGTTGAACTGTCGCAGTCATACAATAGATAGATCTCATTTCTATTAACTGCTACATTCTTTCCTAATATATGGATGTAACACTATTTTTAATGGTTTTATTGAGGTGTCATTGACATATTGTAAATTTCACGTATTAAAATGCACAGTTGGATAAGTTTGATATACGACATCATTACCACGATCAAGACAATAAATACTTGTATGTTTAATTTTTTTTTAAAAACTGCCAAGCTGTTTTCCAAAGTAGTATTCCATTTTGTATTCCCACCAGCAGTGTGTGCAAGTTTCCATTCCTCTACACCCTCATGAACACTTGGTACGGTCAGTACTTTGAACTTTAGCTGTTCTAATGAGTATGAGGCAGTACTTCACCCTGAAGTACTAATGAACTTTAATTTGAACTTCTGTAGTGACCAATGTCACTGAGCATCTTTTCATGTACTTATTTACCATCTATGTAACTTCCTGGTGAAGTGTCTGTTCAAATATTTTGCCCATTTTTATTGGGTTTGTTATTAAATTTTGAGAGTTTTTATACAACTGATTATGAGTCTCTTATCAACAATAAATATGAATAAAATACTGGGGATATAACATATAGCATGGTGAGTATAGATAATAATACTATATTTGAAAGTTGCTAAAAGAGATCTCAAAAGTTCTCATCACAAGAAAAAAAATTTATTTTACTTCCAGCTAAGATAGAGGCATAGGTGGAAATACTGTGCCTCCTTGCCCAACCAAATTTAAGGGCAACAAAGATTTAGAAACAAAAACACAACCAGAACAGACAGAAAATTGAATTGTACCGAAGTCCAACCACAACGAACCATTCATCCAGACCAGTTAACAGGGGCAGAGTCACCAGCTGGCCGAGAAGGGTCCCAGCAGGAAAAGGCAGTGGTTGGCAGACACAGGCTCGGGGAGGAAACGAGCAAACCCAGTAAGGTTCACAAGGCAGCTGGTTGATCGTGGTCACACATTCACATGCAGATAAACCAGGCAAAAAATGGGCAGTGAGACAGACCGCACAACCCAGGACTCCAGCAACAGAAAATAAAGCCTAAAAGCACCAATTAGAAAAATTTGCAGGGGTTGAGGTGCCAGGAGTGGCTCCCAGCCTCACAGGAGAGTTTGTGGGAGAGACCTACAGGGTCCTAGAATGTACACAAGCCCACCCACCCAGGAACCAGCTCCAGAAGAGACCAATTTGCTTGTGGAAAGTGGCAGAGGGGACTGAAATCTGAGAAACAGTAGAACAAGTGCCACTGCCCCTCTGATCCCTCCCCCACATATAGCATCACAACCCAGCTATTCGGTTGCCCCGCTCTAGTGAATACCTAAGGCTTTACCCCTCACATGTAACAGACGCAACCTGACCAAAAATGGCTCAATCAGAACAAATCAAAGCCCCAAAGCCAATACTTTTAAGTGACCAAGAGATGGCCAGCCTATCAGATGCACAGTTCAAAACACTGGTGATCAGGATGCTCACAGAACTGGTTGATTTTGGTGACAAATTAGATGAAACAATGAAGGCTACACTAAGTGAAATGAAGGCAAATGCACAGAGAACCAATAGTGATGGGAAGAAAACTAGAACTCAAATCAAAGGAGTGGACCAGAAAGAAGAAAGAAGCAACCAAGCAGAAAAGAATGAAGAAACAAGAATTCAAAAAAATGAGGAGAGGCTTAGGAACCTTCAGGACATCTTTAAACGTTCCAACATCTGAATTATAAGGGTACCAGAAGGGGAAGAGGAACAGCAACAAGTGGAAAACTTATTTGAACAAATAATGAAGGAGAACTTCCCCAGTCTAGCAAAGGAAATAAACTTCCAGGAAATCCAGGAAACTCAGAGAGTCCCAAAGAAGGTGGACCCAAGGAGGAACACACCAAGGCTCATCATAATTACATTAGCCAAGATTAAAATGAAGGAGAGAATCCTAGAAGCAGCAAGAGATAAGGAGCCAGTTACCTACAAAAGAGTTCCCATCAGACTATCAACTGATTTCTCCAAAGAGACCTTGCAGGCAAGAAGGGGCTAGAAAGAAGTATTCCAAGTCATGAAATGCAAATACATCCAAGATTGCTCTATCCAGCAAAGCTTTCATTTAGAATGGAAGGGCAGATAAAGTGCTTCTCAGATAAGGTCAAGTTCAAGGAGTTCATCATCACCAAGCCCTTATTCTATGAAATGTTAAAGAGACTTATCTAAGAAAAATATAAAAAATATGAACAGTGAAAGGACAGTAAACTCAGTTATTAACAACCACACCTAAAACAAAAGCAAACTAAACGGAGAGCTAGATCAGAAGTGGAGCCACAGAAATGGAGATCTCATGGAAGGTTAGCAACAGGAAAGTGGGAGGAGGAGAAGGGGGGAGAAGGTACAGAGAATAAGCAGCATAGACGGTGGGGAGAAAATAGACAAGGAGGGCAAGAGTAGTGTGGGAAATGTAGAAGCTAAAGAATTTATGACACATGGATGTGAACTAAAGGGGAGGAATGTGGGGGAAGGGAGTATGCAGGGTAGAGGGGAATGAGGAGAGAAATAGGACAAGTGTGATGGCATAATCAAAAAGATATATTTTAAAATTATTTTATTTTATTTATTTATATTTAGAGAGAGGGGAAGAGAAGAAGAAAGAAAAGGAAAGGAACATCAATGTGTGGTTGCCTCTTATATGCCCTACACTAGGGACTTGGCCTGCAACCCAGGTATGTGCCCTGACTGGGAATTGAACCAGAGACCCTTTGGTTCACAGGCCTATACTCAATCCACTGAGCTACACCAGCCAGGGGAGAAAAAAATTTTTAACTGTGTGTTAACTAGATATCATTGTGATCATTTTGCAAAATACACAAATATTGAATTAGTATGTTATATACCTGAAGCTCATATAATGTTATATGTTAATTATATCTCAAAAAATGCAAAATAAAAGAACAAACTATGGATACATACAACATGCTAAATGCAAAATAATTATGCTAGTGAAAGAGGCCAGACAAAAAAGAGGGTACATATTCTCTGGTTGGCTTAATATAAAATATTGGAAAAATCATACTAACCCATAATGCATGACATGTTCTTTCTTCTCTCTTTCTTTCTTTTCATTCTGTTTTTCTACAGATAAATTATCTTTTTTTTAATGGTTTCACTTCTTTTTTAAATTAATTTTATTTATTTATCTTTTGAAGGGAAGGGAAGGAGAGAAGGAGAGAAATATCAATGTATAGTTGCTTCTGGTGCATCCCCTGCTGGGAACTGGCCTGCAACCCAGGCATGTGCCCTGACAGGGAATCGAACTGTGATCTTTTGGTTCGCAGGCCCATGCTCAATCCACTGAGCTACACCAGCCAGGGCCAGATAAATTATCTTGATACTCAACCTTACATAGAGACCTATTTATCTTTTCATATAAGTTCCAGTTTGAAGCCTGGGTGTATTTTCTCCAGTTTTCTGTAACTTGAGAGTGTCAGAGGTGGCAGGGAAAGGGGAAAACTCTGCTGGGTAGTAAGCAGTCTTTATGAGGGTCTGCTTCTTTTTCATTTTTTTTTGTGAGGTTCATTAAGTCCTATGCTAGGTTTCATTTACCTAGTTAGGATGTGTCCTTGGGAGTTGGATAGTTTTCTTAAAAACAAAACAAAACATAATATTACTTATTTATTTTTAAATCCTCACTCAACGATATGTTTATTGATTGGCAGGGAGGTGGGGAGAGATACATCGATCTGTTGCCTCCCATACACACCCTGGCTGGGAACGAACCCACAACCTAGTATGTGCCCTGACCGGGAATCGGACCTGCTACCCTTCAGTGTATGGGTTGACGCTCCAACCAACTGAGCCTCAGGGTGAGAGATCTTCCTTTATGTGTCAATTATACTTCAACAGAGCTGAAATTAAAAAAGAAAGAAGAGATCTTCCTCACTATGCCAAAACAGAAGTGATTTTGCATTGCTGAATTGTTCTTACAAGGTGTATACCTATATGCTTTATAAGAACATGCTGGGCCCTTTCAGTTTACTGCCTTGCATAGCTAATTATCAAAATTTCCTATAAATCTCTGTCTTCCCTGGGAGAAGGTGAATTTCCTGAAAGCATGGACTAGGGCCACACCAGTGTGTACTCTCTGGTGTTTATTCAGCAGCAAGGATTGAATACACATTTGCCCAGTGACAAGGACTTGCCGAGAAGAACGGCCTGTGGGCAGGAAGAGGATTCTAGCTAGAAAAGAGGCCCAGAGTGATATGCTAGCAAAGCAGGGTGAGCAGGAAGGCCTGCAAGAACCCCAGAGCTGAGGAAAACACTTGAAAAGTTTCACTTTTCCAATTTTATTTGCACAGAATTGAATTTGAAATTAGAATTGGCAACTCTTAAGTTAGAAGTGCCAATTCTAACCCCTCAGTTGGCCTCAACACCGTAAGTTAAGTGATCAGCACTCAAAATCCCTTCTTGGCACTAAATAAAAATAACAACATTGGTGATGTTTGGTACACATACATAATACCAGACCTAAGAAGACAACTCACCACATGTTGTGCTCAAAAACTTTAGCTGGGTCAGTTAAAATCCTCGATCCCAGAGGGGCCACTGGGTGACGACCACTTTGGTATCTGCGTGGCAGCTTTCTTATCCTTAGACAAGAAATAGAATTTCTCCAAATCCCATTCATCTTCATCGGTACCTAAAAAATTACAAACAATTAGTCAATATGCATTAAACAGTGTATTGTTTATCTAATAGCCAAAAACTGGTCCAAAAGGTTTACAACCTGAACAAAGGACATGAAAACTAAATGCTTTTAAATGAAAGGTGGGCGTGATAGCTTTTATCTCCAAGTATTTTCAAGCTATGAGAAGGAAAAAGAATATTTACAGTGTGTGACAATTTCTGGCATTCTTTTAAAAAGCTTTTTATTTATTGATCTGAGAGAGAGACAGAGATTTGTTATTCTACTTATTTATGCATTCACTGGTTGATTCTTATCTGTGCCCTGATCGAGGATCAAATCTGCAACCTTGGAATGTTGGGATGACACTCTAACCAACTGAGCTACCCAGCCAGGGCCCTGGTTGTCATTCTCTATAAGCCGCAGCCTGGCCAACTGTGCTTTGTTTGGTATTTGCTTATTTAATATTAGTATATGGCCAGAGCATGTAAGCCCAGAACATGGATTTGTGTGTTAAAAAGTTTTCTTAAATGATTTTATTATTTTTGTTTCGGAATTCTAGAAAAACATGTTTCTAGGGGATATTTTGTGACCACGAGACCAAAACCCTAAGTACAGTAGCAGAATAGGTAAATAAACCCATTGTCTCATTCCCTGGGCTGAACTAAATAATATGAAAAATAGTCAAATAAATAAAGAAATACTGTATTGAGATATGATCCCAGCAATTCTTAACTCTAACAACCCTGTATATATATACTTTTAAGAAGTCAGTAATATACTTGCAAAACAGGTTTCCCTGTAGAAAAAACACGCTTTAATTGTAGCTCATTAGTTGACTAGCCAAATTCATCCCCATTTCTGGAAGAATAAACATTTAAATAGTATGTCATCTTAATTATGTATTGGCAAATATATCAGTTTAAAATGTTTATGGAAAACTATCAGAAAGAAGCTCTGAAGAGCTTACTTTCCCCAGTGAGGACCCATTGCAACACAGGTGGACACTGCACCCCCATTCTGTTCGTCTCAAGGCTCAGCCAAACGCTGGAAGCTGTCAGATGCAAACAGATGCTCTAAGGTGTGTGTACATAACACGCATTAGAGACTGCCCACAGTGCTGTTAGGCATAGAAATGACATGTATTGTACACCCTTTACCACCTTATTGAAAGTCAATGGGTTTTAAGACCATGAATTCCAAAATGAAGTGTGGAATAACAAAAACATCTTGTGTTTTTGTACATAAAACTCAAGATACTCCTTTTGAAAAAAAAAAAAAGCTTAGTTATACACACCAAAAAAGACTGTAATGGTTCGATTCAAATGTGACTAACAATGATGAGAAATGAAACATTCAATAGCTAGTGCTGATCTCCTGTTTCTTGTTTATTTTTCCTTCTCCACTAAATACAAGCTTTTTGGTGGAAGCAAATGAAGTTAAACGCTCCGCCTACCACTACCTTTCCTCTGATGTGCCTTTGTTCTTTTTCCCTGCCAGTGTGCAGCGTAAGACTCACAAAACCCTACTTGCACAATTATTTTTAGAGCTCTCTTTCTGCACTGAACACTACTCATAAAATCTTCTGTATGCTGAAAAGAAGAAACTGATTACAACTAGAAAGAGAGGCAATTCATGCTCAAAAGTGTAAAATGATGTAAACATATTCCACCCAGGAAATCTGAATCAAAATGAAATTTCAATTCTTCAAATAATCATAGGGTGCTTTTCTATATCTATATATAAAAGAGGAGGAAGAGAGAGAAAAATATATATGAGTTCCTCTCACTATAATTGACCAAGAACCTCTATAGACGGTTGGAGACAAAAAGTCATAACCAGACTGGATATGAGGCAGGCAATTCAGGAAGATGTAGAGATGTGTGTGCCTTGCAGGCTGGCAGTCTGTAGAGAGAGAGTAGAATGCAGCCAGGACCTAAATATGTGGCAATTTGTCCTGCTCAGGCAGCTGCTTTTCTAACTAACCACGTAAGCATCTTTATCTATTTTATTATTTGTAAACATCACTCTTTATCTTTATCTTTTGCATTGCTTTTTATTTTTTATTATATAAATATACAAATTGATATAATAAATATAATACAAATACATGATAAAATTACATAAGTGCCTTTTCATCAAGTAAATTGCAAGCTTTGAAGGGTGGCCTCAAACAGCTTGTGAATTATTTGACTGATTACACACAAAAGAATGATACTTGTCTGATATAAATTTAATTGGGAGAGAGATTACTTCATATTTTCCAGGATAGCTCCTAAGATTTTTACAGTGTGGAAAAAGGAAGGGACAGAAGAATGTGACAGTCCACATGCAGCTATGCAGTTGTATTGACCACGCTGATTAAGAATTGCATGCTTCATGTTAGGACTGTCGCGGTAGCGTAATGTCTACTAGGCCATGGTTCCATTTGGTGATGGGAGAAGAGCAGGGTTAGCCAGAATTCTGGAGGAGAAAGTTGGTTTCTGCTACCATAGTGTCCATTCACTTTATGTGCCCTCTCTTAACTCTCTTTTGGCATACTCTAATTTGAATACAGGTTTAACTAAGATACTATTTGCAAAATGAAGCTGTATGGGTAAGTAGTATTTTTATTTGAAATAACACAAAGAGGTACAGCTCAAATTATTCCATCCACCTGAAAGAAGGCAAGAAAGGAAGAACAGAGGAAAAACAGATGGGACAATTAGTAACCAAATACCAAGATGGCATATTTAAACCCAACCATATCAGTCATTACATTCAATGTAAATGGAATCCAGTTAAAAGACAGAGATTGTCAATATGCATGAACTAACTATATGATGTCTATAAGAGAGGCACTTTGCATATAAAGGGACAAATGGATTAAAGTTTTAAAAAGAGGTATCATGCAAACAGTGCATGAAAATTACAGTAGAGCTGTATTAATAGACAAAGTAGACTTTTAAAAAAAGACTGTTATAGAGCTAAAATGGAACATTTAATAATGATGGGCCAATGTGTCAAGACATACCAACCCTAAATGTGCATGTACTGTATGTTTAGGATGGTAAGATGCACTGGACCATAAGATGCACCTGGGTTTTAAAGGAGGAAAATAGGGGAAAAAATTGGAAGCAAAAAATGTGGTAAAATATTTAATAACCTGTGACCCTGCTCCCCTCCACAGTGAGCCAGGTAAGCTACATTTGGACTATAAGACACCCCCCCTTTTCTCCCAAATTTGGGGGGAAAAGTGCATCTTATAGTCCAAAAAATATGGTACATAATAACAAAGCTTTAAAATACATGGAGCAAAAATAGACCGAAATTTTTAAAAGAAGAAATTAACAAATTCGCAATTAGAGAGCTTAATATTCCTCTCAACATTCAGTTACTATCAAATATCAACAAATATATAAAAGATTTGAACATAAGCAACTTCAATGATACAGAAAGAACATTATATCTCTAATGACAGCAAAATACACATTCTTTTCCAGTGAATGTGGAACATTAGCCAAGGTAAACCATATATCCTAGGCTACAAACAAGTCTCAATACATTTCAAAGTTTCTCATACAGAGTATGCTTTCTGATCATAATAGTATTAAAAGTTGGTTTTTTAATGAATTGACTTATAATAAATATCCTTTCTTATGTCTGGTAATAGTAATTTTCTTGAAGTGTGCTTTGTCTAATATTAATATAACCCCATAACTTTCTTAAGCAGTGGTGCGCATGGTAAATCTTTTTAAAATGTATATGTGTGTTTACATTTAAAGTACTTCTTTCACAGAAGCATATTGCTGATTTTTGCTTTTTTATCCAAACTTAAAATAATAATAAGATATCTAGAAAAATTCCTAAGCATTTAGAAGTTAAGCAATACACTTTTAAATAAACTATGAGTCAAAGATTTACATGAGTTAGTAAATGGTAAGGTAAATTATACAATATATTAATTGAATAATAAGGAAATCTTAAAACATCAAAATTTAGAAATTCTGTACAAGGTCACCACCAAAAGTAAAAACAGAAATTTACTTGTGAAAACGAGTTTTGCTGTTAAGTGCTGCTGACTCACACCTTTCAACAATAGAATTGCCTAAGAGTTTAGATTAATTTTCTCATAGAATATGATTTACTTGTACAGTCACCTTTTGTGACTGTACAAGTAAACATATATATGTTTATATATATATACATACAAATATATCACAAAGTTAAAAATTAAAATTTATGGGGTATAACCAAAGCAATATTTAGAGGAAAATTCATAGTTTTAAATGCTTCTATTAGAAAGGAAGTAAGATCTCAAATCAACGATCTCAGCTTAAATCTTAAATAGAAAAAAATTAGATAAAAAATAAGTAGAAAGAAGGAAACAATAAAAAGCAGAACTCAATAGAAAATGGATAAAGCAGGGAAAATCGAAGTCAAAAGTTGGTTCTTTGAAAAGATTTTAAAAACTAATAAACCCTTGGCAAGACTGATTTCAAACATCTTTGTTTCAGAAAATACAAATTTCTGCCCTGGCTGGTGTAGCCCAGTGGACTGAGTGCTGGTCTGTGAACCAAAGGATCGCCAGTTCAATTCCCAGTCAGGGCACAGGCTTGGGTTGCGAGCCAGGTCCCCGTTTGGGGCTGTGCAAGAGACAGCCACACATTGATATTTTTCTCCCTTTCTCCTTCCCCTCCCCATCCCTAAAAATAAATAAAAAAGAAAGAAAATACAAATTTCTAATAATAGGAATGAAGGAAGATATCACCACAGACCCTATAAATGTTGAAAAGTTAGTAAGGAGATATTATAAGCAATTTTATTCTACTTATTAGATGAGAAATGTTTTGAAAATCACAACTTACCAATAATAATATACCAGAACAGCACAAGAAAAAATTTAAATAGCCCTAAATCCTTTAAATAAATTAATTTTGTAATTTAAAAAATAACAAGCATCATACCCATTAGGATGACTATTATTTTTAAAAAACAGAAAATAAGTGTTGGCAAGTTTGTGGAGAAATCAGAAC